CCCGCCCCCCCACTTATTTTATAGAATAATGTTTGCTAAACCTTCTGCCTATTGTTCTAGGTAAATATATTTTACAATTATTTAATTCTACCAAGTGATTAAGTAATAGCTTTCAGACTTCAAAAGGAGTTATGGATTCAAATTTAGTTTAATTTATAAACAATATTTTTAGGGTTGGTATCTTGGGCCGGATCCTAAACTGCCATATATCAGCATAAAATGGTTAACTTCGACAGAGCTCACATTTACAGCAGCAGATGTTCTTGCCCCAAATCTTTAATAGGGGTTACAACGGTATTTTATAAGGAGCTTCTGTAGTGTTTAAACAAAGGACAATATGCTTTAGCAGTTAAGTATATAAGACTTAGAACCCACAGCCCCTTGGCAGCTCAGATCATTAGAACTCATTTAATGTTGGACCCTCTGTAGATTTGACAAAAAGGGTAGTGAATGCAATTTGTATCCCTAAGGACAAAAAAGGAGGTCAAGGAGTTTTCCGAATAATATGTACTATAAACCCCCCAAAGAACCATGAATTACACTTATGAAGTTAAATGTCATTGAAAAATGACTTGACCATGAAACTGACAAGAAAAACACTGTTAACTTAACCTAATTTGTCAATTTCACGTGTCTCCCTCCAAACCATATTGAATGAAATCTGACAAATATGCCATTTTATTTTCTTGTGCAAATCTGTTAATAGAGCAACTGTGTTTATGCAGCAAAAATTGTGAATCACAAATATCGATTTTGGTGCCACTGCCATTTCAGGTAAATTGTTTGAACGATATGACTATGATGAATATCAGAAATAAAAAACTAACTGGTGAAAATATGCTGACCCACAGCTTCTAATTCCATTTCCTAGTGGAAGAATAGCATATGAATCAACTTGACCCATTCTTTTGGGGAGTACAAATCAATAGAGATTTCATACTATAATATAAATTCAGATATGTTTACTTGTTTTGTTGTGTTGTTAATTCATTCAGAAAATTTAAATAAGACTGGATGATCACTTAAATCTGTTGAGAAACCACTTGATATTTCACCGTTTATTCAGTAGCTCCTGAATTAGTGTGCAAAATATTTACAAAAGAGAAGAGATTTTGAAGTAGCAATGTCATTGCTATGAATTTTTTTTTTTGCCAAATGATGTATGCAAAAGGTTATTTTAACCTTTCTTGTCATGTTACTGGCCTTTTCTAAGTTCAGAGTTAATACAGCTTGCCTTCTGCAATTCATCTATCTTCTAAAAACCTTATCCTTTCAAGCACCAATGATTAAATCATCTAAATCCTTCTTCCTACCTTAAAAATTGACTAAAGCCAAAAACTTCATTAATGCAGGGGTAAGGGAAGCCTCATATCCTCCCAGAATATTGAATACAACTGCTATTTAAATCTCTGAAAACCAAGACAAAAGGAGTTAATGCTCCTGTAAGACCTGCCCTACAACCTTTACTCTGACTCTCAGGTTAGCAACTGCAACTGGAGATACATTACAAATAAGTTTCAGTTATGGATTCCCTACAAAAAGCAGACAAGAAGAAAAGGTGCTACTTTATGTGATACATTCTGTCTCAGAATTGTATTAATTCGTTTCCCTTCACAGTAACCAGTTGCCCTTCACTGGGCACGTCTACACAAGACACTACTACTCTGTGGTTACTGTGCATTCAGTTAGTACTTTTATAAGCGAGTGCTAACTAAATGAGCAATAACTGGAGTTACTGTGCAGGAGTGCTGGTGAATGCCTTTTAAGTGATGCTACTGCACAGTGGCCTAATACTACTGTGGAGTAGTATCTCAGCATGGTTTTTCCCACACAACACTACTGCATAGTAGTATCAGGCTACTGTGCAGCCAGCATCTTGTGTAGATGCGCCCACTGTTATATACAACTTTGGTGGCTGGATCAGGGAATACTTGAAGAAGGTTGTCACAGCTCACATTGTAATTTGAGAAGCGGTGTTTTTGCATCCCAATGGATAATACACCTCTTTTCCCCCTAAAGAATTAGATAAATTGTGCATGTAGAGACAGCACAACACCATGGAAGCTCTTAGTGGTTTGGCAGTGTACATGACATCGTTCTGTTACAACAGAGATAAAAGTAGGTAGATATTTCAGAGAGTCAAGTGTAGTAACACTAGCTACTCAAAGGTGGTTTGTACATAAAATGTTGGGACACAGAGTAAGTGTAGCCTGCTTATGTTCATTAAGCCTGGCCTAATGCACCTTTGTCTTTGTGATGATACCACAGCCTGCTCGTTTCTCCTCTTGTGCTCACTCACATACTCTGTCCCTACAGCACTTCCTGTCATCTAGAGGGATAGTGTGCCATGATGTTTGCTAAAGCAGGATGGGCCAGCATTCACAAAAGGCACCATAAGGATTTCAAGACAGGGATAAACTGATTTGTTTTAACTCTGTTGCATTAACTCTGTATTTCTTGGTTGTCAGAAGTTTAGGTATAAGCACATTCTGTTCTGGAAGGGAATGCTGCACTTCTGTTGAACCTTATCTCTGCCTTAATAAACTTCTTGGATACTGAATTTGCCTTCTTTTCTGTGGTAACACACGTTAGGGAGAAAAGGGCACTCCCTGGGAATATCTCCTTGCTGAGTGGCTCAGCTAACACTTTTGCCCTCCATTCAGTTGTAAGGACTGTAAAATTTTAATGTCATGGGATTTGGACTGCTAAGCCCACACTACATAAGACACACTACACAGCAATTTTCAAGACACATGATTATTCTGAGTAATCAAGCAAACTAGGTTTATCTTAATCATAGTGGAACTAGCACCCTGCTGTTATTTCTTATAATGATGTTTTAGGGGGTTACAGTGTCTAATAGGCATAGAATTTAATTAATGTTCATAGAATTCCTAAAAACTACAATTTATATCCAGGTGAAACAGCACTTAGGATGCTGCATTCAGCTCTGGAAAACTTAACACCAGAAAGACGCCAAGAAATTGCAGGGGATCTGAAGAAACAGAAGTGACTGTCAGGAGAGACTGACTTATGAGGACAGATACAAGGTAATGAATATGTATAGCCTTACTAAATGATGACTAAAGACAGTGAGATGGAGCATGTTTATAAGTATTTGAATGGTACAATAACCAGGGAAGGAGAGGGACTGCTTCATGTGCTCCTAGGTGGAATTAATGGAATGAAATGAAGAAAGCATGCTTAAATTTACCTATCAGGAAAGGTTTCCTAATAATATCATCTTTCAAATTTACTCATAATATTTAATCAACAAGGTGGAATCTCATGACTAACCTTAAACAGGACTAACCTTCATATTAACTAAACAGGACCAGACAAAAGAGTAGAATTTGTTCTAAAAGTTAATTCTTGGATTCACAGGACCTGGTCTGGATGGTGAAAGAAGAGCTAGAACCATTCCTTTCCATCTCTGCCTTCTAATTTTTACCCTTACATGAGAATGGTAGGCACCATATTATATAATGTTTGAGCATCTCCTTCAGTCTTCCACAGTTAGATGAACTGTGAATTACCTTTGCTGGGAGGGAGGAAGGGCGTTACAGAATAAATCTGATGCAAAGGCCTCTGAAATTAATAGAAATAACATCATTTACTTTAGTGGGTTTTGAACGAACTCTTTAATGCATCTGGGGTTATAAGCCATTTTCTGGGAGAAGCTGATAAAAATGCACTTTATAATAGTTGACTGTAATTAGTCCAATGGTAGCAGCCTCTGTAGCATTGACAAAAATCCCATACACTGGTCTCCCAACAACAGGACTGAGACATACTTGTGTTATCTGGGAAAGCCTTAATTATCTCTGCCTATGTTTTCTGGTGACAGACAGCTGTTTACTAGCCTATTAGCTGAACAGGTGCACTCCGCCTAATTCCTAGCAGACAAACTCCTGCATCAGTTAGAATATTCAGTACAGAGCCAAGGTTTGAATGAGCCTGGTCACAGACCTATTATCTCAACTAAAGAAATGCTCCCCTTTTCAGGTCAGAGGTGATGAACACTGGCCGGTCACATGGAGTAGCCTGAACTAAAACTGACAGGCTCTCAGGATGAGCAGAGGACTTCAGAATTTTGGCAATTCTCCTGAGCTAATTTTCCTTATAAAACAATACAATTACACTTAAAATAAAAGAGGCAGCTCTCTGATTTATGTTGTGGCACATTTTGCAAAAGTAATCATGAACAAAACCATTGCGGAATTCTATCTGTGACCATATTTGGTCAGATCATTTTGTTAAATACTCTCATTTTTTATATACACAAAAAATGACTACTTAAATTTTCAATATAAAGAGCTTTTTAGCATTTGTTAAATTGCTACCATTTTTGTGTACCATCTACTTTTCTTTAATTCCATGTGATTGTGTTTAACAAGAGTAATTTACCCTACATGATGTCTCTAAGTAGCGTGGATATCTATAGTCTTCCAAACCTGGCTCTTCTCTTTCTGTATTAATAGTGACTGAAGCATTTGCCTTTTGTGGGTTTCAGTTATGCCATTTTGTAAACCACGTTTCATTTTGTTCTCCAGTTTACATTAAAAATGTTCAATAAATATAATCCATAAAAAAAGGAAAAGAATTATCTTGATTCTTCAGAAAAATCTCTCAGATTTACTTGTAGCAGACAATTCTGGGGGACATTTCTACCACTGCAGAATAATGACAATATTAACTACACAGCAGATCAAAATACAATTTAACGTTTCCCAGAGCAGTAAAACTGAATGGACTCCATATATGAAATGCCCACCTGTGTACTGTCTGCTAGAGCAGATTTAAACTTGAACATTATGGAATTCCTTCTCCTTCCCTCCCTACCCTTTGGGTCTGTAAACTCAGAAGATACACTCAAAGCATACATAGAGTTTGTACTGTAACATTTACCTTCTTCACAGTTCTCTCCTTTGTAGCCAACAGAGCAGACACAATTCCCTTCAACGCAAGTTCCATGACCTCCACATGAGGGATCAATACACTGGCTGATGGGTACATCACATTCTGGCCCTTTCCAGCCACTGTAGCACAAACAGGTTCCTTTGGAGTATTGTCCATTACCACTACACAGAACAGGGCATGCAGCTGGATAATTGAGTGACAGAAAGAGATGGTGCACAGGTTTATATTTGTACTCTCATAACATTGCTTTAAAAAATTACTTTAAACCTTCTTTTGGATAAATATAACCAAGGTAATTTATCAGAAAATGCAGTCAGTATGTAGTAATTCAGCTTTTGATCACTCAAATATGATTATATATATATAAGTACATATATATTTTTAGGCTATAGATGCTATTTATCTCAAACTTGACAACTATGGGGACTAAGGAAATGTCTGGAATGGCCACTATTAACAAGTCAAAATGAATGGATTTGATTCTGACGTCAAATTAGTTTTACATGAACTGGGTGCATCTACATGAGACATTTACTGTGGAACTGCCTAATTAGCTCCACAGTAAATGTCTCCAGATCTACACGTGCACCCCTATTAGGGCACGCAAAACTAATAAACTCTGGAGCAGGCTAGAACTTGTAAATACAAGTATTAGCTTGTTCTGGAGTTTTTTCATGTGTAGTAGTGCATGTGTAGATACTGCCCTGGCTGGCTGGGGCACAAGGATGCTTCAGTAAGTGGCTGCCTGCTGGCTAGACCCACAGTGAAGCACTCTCATGCTCCAGCCAGCCCCTCTGCAGGGCTGCTCCAACTGGAACTCAATGTGCTGTGCACGAATAAATTCAGGAGCAATATACAGAAGAGTTTTTTGCTCATGGGCACATGTTCAAACGGCACACCCGGGAGCAAAAACCTCTGGAGCAATAAGCCCTGAAGTTTATGTGCACATTAATTGCATATGCCCACTAACTTCTGATTTTCACGGATGTGATAGAAGAGTATTGATGTGCTCCAAGGCAGTCCAATCACATGCTGTTATGCCTCACTGGTATGGCCTTTTTTTTTCTTGCACAGCATTTTTGAATGATCTAGGCAACTTTTCTCACTAAAATTTCACCATTTTACTTTGTAACTTTAATATTCTTATACCAGCATCTTGGGCAAAGTGATTACTAGAATCTTCATCTGCAGTGTTCACATCCTGCCACCAAAGAAAAGCCTGAGAAGGAATACCACAAATGGATATCATAATCTAATTTCACTTGGGAACCCTGCTGTCTGGTGGAATTTGAGTCTTGAATCACAAGCTCCTATATAATGTGTAGGAAGAGTTAGGTACCTAGGGATGCAATTTATAGTGGAGAGGTAAGGTTGAAACTTTGCTCTTTGCATGGAGTGCCTATCCCATTCAGGGTGCACAACCACAACCTAGAGGAAGGTATGAGAGCCTTTTCCTTCAAATGCTAAGGCGGAGCCAGTCCTTTCAAAGAAAGCTAGAGATGGTGATGATGTAAAAGATGGCAACCCCCCCCCCCACTTTTTACCAACAGTTCTGTGATAAGAGCATTCACTTGGGATATGAGACACCTTGGATCAAATCTGCCTAAGAGGATATGAACCCACATCTCCCATAGAAATGCCTAAAGCATCAGGCTATTTTGGTGTCTCAGTCCCCCTTGTTGCAACCATTCCACTTTGTTTAGAATAATTACATAATAATTGAGCCACAGGGAAAAAGTCTAAGAATGATTCTATAACATTAATTAAGGCACTTACCAAGAAAAAGGGAAAACTCAGTTTCCTTGCTACAATTAATATTTTATACACAATGGAACAAATCCAGTAAAAGGGACCAAGCACTATACTCCATGCTGACCTATATCCTCAGGATGAGGGCTCCCTCTTGAGAGATTTTTAGTTTCCCTCAGGTGGAGAAAGGATTTGAATGTGGGTCTCTTCTAACACGTGAATGCTCTAACCACTGGACTACTGGAAAAGGAGGTATGCTTATCTAATTTCTTAAAATAGTTAGATATGTTCTAGAGCAGGGCCTACAAGAGTGATAGGTGGATACCTATTTTCTGGAACTTGATGGTCTTAAATACAAAACACTGAGCAGTTTAATGCCCTCAAGAGTTGGTAGGTTGTGTGTATGCACAGTAATGGAAATGTATACATCAAGGGAGTTTAGGTGCATGTTTTGTGAATGTTAGAAACAAAGAAATATTGCATTTAGGCCCCTAGAGAAGCACAAAGGTGCCTAAGTCCACCACATAAATTGAGTCCTATATGAACTGCAGTGTCTACCGAAGACTGGGAAGCTGGTTACCAGCCACAGATAAGGAGAAAATATGGATGACAGACAGAGAGGGTCTTGGGAAGGGAAGAGGGTACATTACTCTGTTTGATATTAAGTGGGAACATCATGTTTGTTCAAAGCTATTAGAATATTGCTGCTCAAGATCCATTCTTACTTTGCTCTTGCTTTTACTTCCACCTTAACTTAAACCATTCGGAGGAACCAAATGATCAGATTTGTTATGAAAAAAATGTGGACATAATACTATTCCATCCATTTCTTCATCACATACCTGGGACCAGCCCTCATTCACTTGAGCTGTTCCACTGACTCCAGACAAAAGGACTGCAAGGCTAGGTGTTTGAATCTGCAATAATTTTCAGATATTTTTTGAAGTGAAATATTTTTTTACCTGAACAGTTATCTATCACTGGGGGTTTGCAGGTTACTTCAGTTTGGAAAAGAAACCAATGATGGAGTTGGGTATCTCTTATGCAAACCTGTTTGTTTACTGAGTGTTGCTTCTCCAAATACCAAAAATCAAGTAGCAGAAGCCAGTTTCTTTGCTGAAAATGTCTATGCCACATTATAGATAGCACTTGGCCCAATTACTCTCTCCCTTTCCTACTTTCTCCTAAGGTTTTTTTTGCTATTGGTATTTCTATGTCTCTGTTTGATTTTTTGTTGTTGCCTTCTCTTTCTCTATTTTTGATCCAACACCATTTTGCGCACACATATATTATCAATGTACAAACACACACACATATATATTCACACACACATACAAGGACATATACTTTATATAAACTTAACTTTGAACATTTGAATTAATCTATGTCATAAAATTCAAAGTAAGCACAGACAGATTGACCACAGTTGAACCTACCTACTAAAAAGAACTCCACATTTTGTAAGCCTAGGATTAAAAGACACAACTTCATCCCATTACCATTAGCCCAAGAGAGCCCAGGGCTATGAAGCATGGGGAGGAGTTCATCTCTGGTAGGCTAGGTCCATCTCCTTAGGCAAACTAGATGGACCTGAATGGAGTGACATCTCAGCATGAGGGCACAGATTCAGTGTCTCAACAACAGAGACAGTGTGAGGATATTTCACTTGGCTGAGATAATATTCAGAACAATTAATTGATTTTGAAGACAGGAAAACAGCCCAGCATGAACAAGGTACTTTTATACAATTCTGAAAATCCTCAATATTTCTTTAACATGTACAGAGGACAAAACTCACAACTGTAATTTAGAGATGGACAAAAATCCTTTTTTATACCTTGCAGTATGTAGCTAGTATTTTATATGCATTTAAGCATTACGTACCTTTATCCAAACTCAATTTTCTCTTTGTTCTTAGACAAAGCTGTACATATTCCTTTTTATGTGAATCATTAAGTACAAAACTGGCACATTAGAAATAAAGTTCTTTAATATTTTACTGACCACTGTGAGTTATAGTGGAGACAGATGTGGTTTGAACTTCTTACCAATGATCTCAAAGCTGACCTTCTGGGAACACTTCCTCTTGAGGATAATTAATTCAGTCTCTGTAATAACTCAACCCAGGACTTCCTTTTAGCAGAGATTAAGCTGCTACTGCTGAGTTATTATGCATAGTTTTGCATGTGTTTGAGAGAGATGGATTACAGCTCACTAGAGACTAAGTTAAAATCACCAAACACATTTCATAATCTGCTTCAAACTGGATTGGAAATAAGGTCCAATTGTTGTAAAGATCTGTATGTAACAGGTTACCTACACTACAACATCCTGTTCTATAGATCTGAAGAACATTATAGTTACATTACATTCTACTATGCTGTGTCCTGAGCATTTACTGTAATTGCCAAGGTATTGCATTTCAATTGCATATGCCAGTTTATTATAATAGTTTATAAATATACCCTAGGCAAGGAGCTATACTCTAATGGAAACAGGTGCAAATTTAGTTAATAAAGCTGTACTTTATAAAGTGAGAACTGAATTTAGTTCCATAGTTATACAGCAGTGTTTTACATAATTTAGAATTGAACCAAAAGTTGCAAACGTAGGTGTCTAAGGCTAACATCTTAGAACCCAATTAAGCCTACTTTGATATAAGTGGGCTGATTTTTGAAAGGCCTCAACAGCCCAAAATCCCACTGAAAGAATAAGCTTTGCAGAATGCCAGAACCTTGAGAAGGTGTTTCCTCTGGCTGGTGAAAATGATATGATCAGGAAAAATGGGACTTGATTCACTTATCCTTTCGCTCAACATTGTGCTAACAACAGTAAAGGTGTCTTCAGAGTGTGGGAAACTAGCGCAATTTACAGCAGCTTTTAGGTTGCTTTAATTCATGCTTAGGAGTTAGCATTCATATGTGACAGACTTACCCGACTGAGCTCCAATGACAAATGAATGCAGGGAATATAACTTGGGTCTCGAGAACGAATGGGAATATAACTTTTAGTGCTGTTTCAATTTTAGTCTTGTCATCAACAGTTTCAAGAGATGCACAATTTTGGCTTTGCTACATAGAGGGTGTGTCTACATGTGTATTTACATGCATCTAAACTTAATGTGCCTTTGCTTAAGGCACATTAAGGTGATTTAGGCACATGTCTACACATGGACGTGCTAATGCACATTAAGGAGCATTAAATTTAGGCATGAATAGCTAAGTTACATTAGCACATGTGCAGACATGCTCACGCACATTAATGCAGTTTGTATCCACTGACGGCCGCCACGTTAATGTGCATTAGTGTGTTTACATGTGCATTAATGTGACTTAGCTATTCGTGCCTAAATTTAAGGCTCACAGAACCTTATATTGCCATTTTTAAGGTGCACTAAGGGCATGCACATGTAGACATGTGCTCTTAATGCACCT